GCCCCAGACCAGGGAGCTGGGTTGAGCCCACGGAGCTCAGCACCGAGGCGCCCCCCCACCAGCCCAGCCCCCAGCCCACCAGCCCAGCTCAGTCCCGGGGAGCCAGCCGACCTGGGGTTCGGTCCCGGGGGGAGGGGAGTTTCGGGGGTATAGGGCGGGGGAGTCTTGAGCCAGAGGGGAGGGGGCCGCGGGTTTTCATGTGCCCAGCATGAGCTCCTACTTCGTCAACCCCCTGTTCTCCAAATACAAAGGCGGCGAGTCCCTGGAACCGGCCTATTACGACTGCCGGTTCCCTCAGAGCGTGGGCAGGAGCCATGCGCTGGTGTACGGGCCCGGCGGCTCGGCGCCCGGCTTCCAGCACGCTTCGCACCACGTCCAAGACTTCTTCCACCACGGCACCTCGGGCATCTCCAACTCGGGCTACCAGCAGAACCCGTGCTCGCTGAGCTGCCACGGAGACGCCTCCAAATTCTATGGCTACGAGGCGCTCCCCAGACAGTCCCTTTATGGGGCTCAGCAAGAGGCGAGCGTGGTGCAATATCCCGACTGTAAATCCTCTGCCAACACTAACAGTAGCGAAGGACAAGGCCACTTAAATCAAAACTCGTCTCCCAGCCTCATGTTTCCATGGATGAGACCCCACGGTGAGAAGCCTTTTCTCTTTCTCCCTCGGTCTCCCGCGCTCCGGGGTCTTCCCCCCACCCCCCACCCCCGCCTCCTTTTTGTCTGCCTTCGCTTTCCCTCCTGGCTTTGGGGTCTCTCCCGCCTCCTCCCCACCCCCACCCCCGTGCCTGGGTGGGTTTCTCCAGGTTGGGAAGGCTCAGCTGGGGATGGAGTGCGGGGCTCCTGGGATATTTGGGGGACTGGTCAAGGTGGGGAAAAGGTGATGTCTGGTGGCAAAGGGTTAAAAACTGTTTTCTCCATCTGTCTGTCTCTTTCTGTCTCTGTCTCTCCCTTTCCCCATCTCTAAAGTCAAAGTCGGGGAGGTGGCTGGGAAGGGGCCCCAGTACCCTGAGGTTATCAGCCTTTGGAGAAAATTAGTTCCCTTCAAGGCAGAGAGCCTCAGTCCAGGGCAGTGGCCAGACTGTCTTGGGGTGAAGGGAGACCCCGGTATCCCTCCCCTAGCTGAGTCAGAGAGTGGCAAGACAAGGACAGGAGCTCTGGCTCTCTGAGGTACCCATGCCCCCTCTCAGAGACTAGCCTGAGGGCCACTACCCCAACTTTGCTCTGTTTCCCCCCGTTGGAGAGAAGACAGGGAGTAGGAAAGGAAGAAAAAAGAGTGCTTGGAAGGAGAGGCCATACAGATTAGGGAGCTCTGAAGTTCGGCAAGGCTTCCTCCAATCAAGGGCTTGTAGGGTCTCCCTAAGACCCTCAAAGGGGGCTCAGGTCATGATGGCCCTTCATGGCCCAATTTCGAAGTAAAAGGGGAAGCAAGAAAACGACAAGTTCCAGCGAGAATAGCCCGTGATTTATTTGCTGGTCTCCAGTTAGCAATCAGGCCAAGTAGTGATACATTCCAGGAGATCAATTATTTTTCTTATTGGAAAAGCATTAGGCAGAGAGAGGTGAGGAGGGGGCAGTGAGCAGTGCCCCCTCTTCTTTATCCTCAGCTTCAGCCTTTTTTTCTTTCTTGTGGAAACAGACTCTGTCCCCAGCCCTGCTCTCCAAATGCCACCCTGCACTTGTAAACAAAGCTGCAAGGGCCAGTATCCTGGGATTGCAGGCCTGGAGGACTCTGTGGGGTTCCTCTGGCCCCTGCCAGTCCCCAGTTTCCAGACAGACCCCAGCCTCTGCCCCCACCCTCATCCCACCTCCCAAGGTGAAGCCAAACCAAAACAGTCCCCCAAACTTTCCTGCCCTGGCCTGCTTTCCACCTTCATCTTTTCCGCAGGAGGGAGGGAAACTGAGGGGCTCAGAGGGAGAACTTTAGAGGAGGAAGGGTGGTAGGGGCAAACCAAGTCACCACCCAAGCGTAACTAGACTGGGGTTCTGTTCTGTCCAGCTCCTGGGCGGCGCAGTGGACGGCAAACTTACAGCCGATATCAGACCTTGGAACTAGAAAAGGAGTTTCTCTTTAATCCTTATTTGACACGGAAGCGCCGGATTGAGGTCTCTCATGCCCTGGGACTGACGGAGAGACAAGTGAAGATCTGGTTCCAGAATCGAAGGATGAAGTGGAAAAAGGAGAACAACAAGGATAAACTTCCCGGAGCCCGAGATGAGGAGAAAACAGAGGAAGAAGGGAATGAGGAAGAGGAGAAAGAAGAGGAGGAAAAGGAAGAAAACAAGGACTAAGCAAAAAAAGAGAGATGTTTCCCCCTTTTAGCAACTCCCTTGAAGTTTCATTTTATGGTAGCGGATAAATTGAGAAGTTTACGACTGTCATTTGCTTTTATAGAGAATAGAATGACACCCACAACTCTAACTACCTGTCAGATACTTGCAGCTCTGGTTTTATTACCTTTGGACTTCCCCCCTACTCTTTATTTGTCTGGGGGCTGGAGGGGGGAGACCGAGACACAGCGAAAAGGAAAAGTTCGGACTCTGTCTCAGTCCTTGCCCCCAACACACACTTGCCCCTACCCCCACCCTTGCTAGTCCTTTCTGGATTTTAAGGTCTGAGACCTGGCCTCCTTTTCCCCTCTCTTCTCCCCTTCTTGCCACACTCCCACCTCCCTCTTTCTCTGGTATTTATTTTAGAGGGCGAGCCCCCTCAAAATGCGGAAGAGCACTCGTGGCTTTGTATTTATGCTAGGATTAGCTTATTAAATTTACTTTTTTGAAAAGGAAAGAAAAAAAGAAAGGAAATATTAACAAGTAATTAAATGATAGTGAGGAATATCTCCCCTCCCATGGGGCTCCCCACTTAGAACGATCTCCTTGACTTTCTCTAGGAACCTGGTGGAAACCTAAGGATGTGGATCTCCCCTCCCTCCCTTTCTAAGGGGGTAGATAGGAGCGTGCCTGAAGTCGCCTCTCAAATCTACCTAGCCATCCCATGTTCACTCGGGCCCAAGCCTTCCTCCCTTTAGCTGTCTGATTTCTGTTCTGTTGGGCCCGGCTTCCTCTGAGCTGCATTAGTGTTAGTGCTCAGAAATCACCATAATCATGAAAATAGTAGTAATAATAATAATACTGACAATAAATCTTTAACATACTACCTAAAGGGAACCTGCAATAATCTTGGGGAAAAAAAAAGAGAGAGAGAGAGAAACAAACAAACAAACAAAAAATCCTAATACAGGAGGAAAAAAAAAAAAGAGAAAAAATAAAAATTAAAAAAAAAGAAAGAAACCTCAAACGTCTTTTATCAGTACCTATAGAAAGAAATCCTGCTTTGAGAGTATACGTAATGCAGTTTTGTTGTCGTTTGTTGCTGCTTATTTCACTAAGAAAAACCCAACAACTGAGACTGCCTAGCCCGCTGGTCCTGTGCGCTTTTATTGTGCTTCTAACCCGAGTAGAGTAGAACTAAATTGCACTGAATGTATAGTTAACTCTCTGTCTTGAATTCTCTGTTTATGCAATGTGCTCGAAAGAAAAAAAAAAACGTTAAAAATATATCTATAACAATAATTTTTGGTCATTTGTCTTTATGTCCAGCTATGAATGTAGATTTTGTGTCCCAACAGCCCTGTTCCTGGTCCAAGTACTTTGTATTGTATATGTGAGTCATAATAATAAAAAAAAAGGATAAAAAATATTTGAAGCTGAAATGACTTGCCTTCTCTCCACTGCCTACGCCATCTCTACCCCTCACCTTCGCTCCATACCCCTCTTTTCCAGCACTCTGGAAAAGGCCTTTTCTACTGGTCTGACTTTAGGGTGGGGGGAACGCCCATGGAGAGGGGCTTGGGAGTTGAGATGGCAGGTTGGGCTGGGATGGCAGGTGAAAGGGAGGGGAAGGGGGAGGAAGAGGAGGAAGAAGAGATTCCCTCCAGTGCTGGGGAGAGGAGGGGCATATCAGTATGTTCTTGGGGGAACCTTGTCTCCAAACAAAGTGGGTTTCACAATGGCCAGACCCCAATGAGAAGAAAGCTTCTCCCCACAAATCTACTCCCCTCCTCCTCAACCTTGGGCTAGGTCGAGACAAAGAATCTGCCCCATGCCCCTCAGAAAAGCTAGGCCTTTTTCCTCCAGGGACTGAGGATGAGGCTTTTCTGATCTCCAAGGCCCACTGTGGTCAGCCCCTTGGTAGCCAGCACCTAGCCCTAGAAGAGTGAACAGGGTGGAGGAAGTGTGAGGCTTAAGACAGCTGACCTGTCTGGAGGGTTTGGCAGGAAGATGCCTAAAGGTGGGGTGGGAGATCCTAAGGATGGGGACGAGGAGAGCTTATGACTGGGGGAGAAGAGAGAAGGAAAAGATGAATGAGTTGGTGAACAGCCAGCCTGGGTCCACATCCTGAAACTTGGCTGCACAGAGTCATCATGGTCACCCAGCCAGAATGTCCACTCCAGCCCCATTCCTGCTGTTTCAACCCAGCTCCCAGCTTCACCTTGGCAATTGGGTAGCCCTGCCCTGCCCCCATAGTTCTGGCCATTGGCCTGGGGCTGGAGGGGTGGGGGTGGGGGACAGGCCCACTAAGTGGATGATCTCCAACCACAACAGAGTGGTGGGGGAGTCTCCATTGGACTCCTCATTCCCCACATTAAAGGGTTGAGGGCTCAGGAACCCAGAGGGCAAAGAGGTCTCACTTCTCTCTGGAGAATCCTAGACAGAGATATCTGTTTATGCCAGTAAGATTCTGGTCAAATAACCCCAAATTCCAGAGATACAAGTCATCTGACTCAGCCAGGGTTAAGGAGAGGGGAGGTGATCTTTTGGTCTTAAAAACCAGACACCAAAAGACTGAAATATTTTTGAGGCCAGATTTTTTTTTCTTTCTCTCTCTCTCTTTCAACCCCCTGGTCAATGATTTTCCCAGACCTAGGCCCAGAAGGACTCTTGTTTTGTGTAATTTCTCCAGGGCCTGGTCTCTGGCTCCCACGCAAAGTGGTCCTGAGTAAGATTGGGTCAGGCGCGGTTGATAGGGGAACTCCTGCCATCCGCGGGAAGCTGCGGATTGGAAGCGCAGGCTGTGGGCAACCGAGGACAGCTTTGAGCTGGAGCTCCGGGGAATCTTTCCGAACCTGGGGTCTCTTTTGCGAGCGCGGCGCCAGCCAGGTAACCCCCGCTTGCCGAACACCAGCTACCCGCCGGGGAGGCCCGAAGAGAAAGCATTTTGCTCCGGTCCCAGGCCTTCCCACGGGCGTCGCCTCCAGACTCCGAGGGCCGGCCGAGGGCCGTTTCATTTTTAAAAGTGGAATTATGATTGCTATTAATAAAAATCTCTGCTCCAGTAGCCTAGCGGACTGAACCCTCCATTAAGTGGCTCCAATGGGCCTCTCCGCCTTTTTTCCACACCGACTGTCCCATTCATCCCTGGCCCTGCTCAGCAATGCCCGTGGCCCCAAGCCCGGCGCGTCGGAGGGCGGGGTGCGTCTGGTGCCCGGCATCGCTGGAGATGTGGGCATCAGAGGGGCCAGGCCAAGCGACCCCCAACCGCCCCGTCTTGAAGCACCCGTTCCCCCGCCCCTCCTGCTCACCGCCTCTGTTTTCTCGTTTAGAAGGAAAAGGAGGTAAAAACCCGTTTTATGAAGGAACGTAATTGCGAGCGGGATGCGCTCTCTTTAGAAATGCGTCGTTCCAAATGCCCCCGCCGTCCCATTACCGGAATGGATACCGTTCGGCTGCAGCAGATAGGACTTTCTCCCATTCTTTACTTTTTTATTAGCCAATCAAAGTGACTTCCGAAAGCTATTTGTGATTTGTGAAAAATAGTATCTTTCAAAATGCTGAGTTGAAGCATCTCGATCATTTTGCTTAGAATTTATTATTCTAATCTCAACAGTAGAGACGGGATAATGCAGCTATTAAGTTGGAGGGCAAATTCGTTTCTCTAGATTTTTTATTTTTTTACCCTTGCCATTTTCTCTCCCTCCTTGCTCCCTCATTGCAGAGGCCAAAGGAGGCGCGGGCCTGCTGGGATCTGCGGGGGCGAGCAAGGTAGTGAGCACCCTGAAGGATTCCTTGGAGGGACTCTTGGGTGGGAGAGTGGGTTGGCCTCCCCAGCCTCGCCTGCTCCGAATGAGGTGCCCCAGAGACTGCCGGTGGGCTGGGGAAAGTTACCGCGGCCGCAATTAGAGCTGTGCCAATTAGGTTGTGCCACAGACTAGAAGTAAAATTTCCGGTGAGCTGCCCGCAGCGCTGTCCCATTCTCCTGGCTGCGCATTGTGAAAAGCTGGGCCAGCGCTTCCTCCTCGTAATTTTTAACTACCTGTTATAAAATTTATGGGTGGGTTTGTAAAAGGAACGGGATCCCTGCATCCGGCTGAGGTAACAGTTTCGGTAACTGTGGAGGAAGTTTGGGGAGGGGGTGAGGGACTCCCTGTTGGTTGGGGTAGGGGCACCTAGCCATGGAAGTCCGGTGCCCAGACGATGGGGAACCAAGGGGAGAGCCGCTGGCCTTCACATCTCCAGCTGGTAGGCAGAGTGGCCAGGTTGCCACCCATTAGCAAATAGTCTGTATGAGGCATTTATTCTGGGCTCCCTCATTTTGGACTCACAGCTAAAATTAGGGGCCTGGAGGAGCAGGGTACTGGGAAATTTAGCAGAACGTGCAGTTCAAGGCACGAAAAGGTTCTTTTCTCAGGGCCTGGGAGAGGCAGGTCCCAGCTGCCAAGACACTGAAGCAGGGATTTTTCTTTCTTTCTTTCTTTCTCAAAAAGGCAGGCGGGTGTGGGCAACCTGGTAAAACCTAAAAGATTTCAAACTGCCTGTGAACCCCAAAGGAAATGGGGACCAAGGTCTTGGACCTTAATGTTATTTTTAATTCTAAAATGATTGGGAGTAAGCTGCCATCTGAACTTAGGAAATGAGGAGACCTAACACTGGGGACAGTCTTGGGGGAAAACTTCATGCTCTCTGAGAAAGGGACCTGGGTATGAGGGGTGCTTTGGGGGTACTGGAGGCTGTCCCCAGTTCTCACCCCTCCCGCTGCCTCTAGAGGACTGCCCAGGGCCGCTCCAGCCTTCTCTGCTCTTCAGACCACTCCAGGTCAGGTTTGGTTGGGAGACTGAAAGCGGCCTGAACCTCCCGTTGCCATCTGGGGTGGGGTGGGGAGCTGCAGGGACACCCTGGTCCTGAGGATGTTGTTCTCTTCCTAGTAAAAAGATAGGGTAGAGAGGGCATCCCTTTTCAGTTCCTTCACCCCGGCAGCCATCACACTGCTCCAATGCCACAAACGTTTGCAAAGCTTAGGTTACCTCAGATCCAACCTAACACCCCATTTATTAAGGAAAATATTTAAAATTCAGCACTTCGAGGGGTGGCAGCCTACCCCCAGCGCCAGAATTCTTCCTTTCCTCCTCCTGCACCCCCACCTCCCGCCCTTTCCGCCCTCGCTTGGAGCAGCGCGGCCCGTGGGGAGTGGGCTGGGGGTGGGGGTGGGGGTGGGGATGGGGGCCAGGGGTGCTCCCACTCTGAGAGAATTGGGTAAACATGGCGACCGCGGCGCCCATTTGCACACGCTACACAAATGCATCGCATTCCCGGTTGTTTGCAGAAAATTTACAGCTGAGTAATAAAAGTTTACGATCGACTCACAAGTTGGATTGGCCACAAGAAGTCATGTGGATTCCATCCATGAACGTGAACTTTTTATTGTGGTTTGTCCGTTCGGAGCGCTCCGCAGAACAGTCCTCCCTGTAAGAGCCTAACCATTGCCAGGGAAACCTGGGCTGGGCGCTCCTTTCATTTCCAGTATTTTTTTTTAAATTAATCTGATTAATAATTATTTTCTTCCCCCATTTAATTTTTTTCCTCCCAGGTGGAGTTGCCGGAAGCTGGGGGCACCTGGGGAGGGTGGGGGTGGGGGAAGAGGCAGGAGTTGAGGGCATGTCTCTCTCCCTTCCCGACCCTCTAGCCCCCCAAGGGGCAGGAGGAATGCGGGAGCAGGAGCTGCGCCAGGGAGCTGCAGTGCCTCCGCCCCTCCCCTCTCCTAGGCTCTCTCCCTCCTGCCCCCTTTTTGCAACTCTCCTTAATTTTATTTGGTTTTTTGATGATTGGGACTATTCTTTTTTATTTTTAAATTTATATAAAGTATTTGTGTGTGTGGAGCTGAGACAGGCTCGGCAGCGGCACAGAATGAGGGAAGACGAGAAAGAGAGAGAGTGGGAGAGAGAGAGAGGCAGAGAGAGAGAGGGAGAGGGAGAATGACAGCAGCGCCCGGTAAGTGTTTCCTTATTGGTTCAAATATGTAACTAATGGTCCGTAGCTGGGTGGCGGTTTCAAGATAAGGACAGCAGCGGCTTGTCTTGGTTAGGGAGGAGAGGGGGCTGGCGAGAGGGTGGGCGCGTGGGCAATTGCGGGGGGAAGAAGGGGGAGGGAAAAGAAACGGGGTTAAACTGGAATACTGGGGGGGAGGGGAATGTGTTGTCCTGATGTCACTGTGCGCCGAAGTTGGGGGTCGCGGAGGCAGGTGAGCTGCGCCTCTGGGGAGCAAGGCCTGAGTCTGGGGCTCAAGGCCTGAGTCTAGGGCGCCGGCCCTCTGCCTTATGCCCACGGTGTCCTTCGTACCTGTTTATTATAGATCTGCGGCCTCTTGGCTAATGGGATTGAGTCGGAGAGGGCCCAGAAGCTTAAACTCCAGGGCAGGAGAG